CATTTTTTTTTATCTTCGAATAAATCTTTATTAATTGTTAATTTTTTATTAAATTGTTCCTGTTTTTTGTATGAATAACATTACGAAAGAGAATTTCAAATTTTTCGAACGAAACGTATGAAATTATTCGAATGATAATAAATAAATATTCTTATTTATTTTAATACATTCTCTTAATAACATTACAAAAGAAAATTACAAATTTTTCGAATAAAAGATATAAAATTATTCGAATGATAATAAAGAAATATTCTTATTTATTTCAATAGATTCTTTTTTCATCTTCGAATAAATCTTTATTAATTCTAGTTAATTTGTTATTAAATTGTTCCTGTCTTTTGTATGAATAACATTACGAAAGAGAATGTCAAATTTTTCGAACGAAACGTGTGAAATTATTCGAATGATAATAAAGAAATATTCTTATTTATTTTAATAATAAATTTTTTTCATCTTCGAATAAACTTCGAACAAAGTTATAATATATTTTATTCACTTTATCGGTTGAATAAAAAAGATTTACAAGCTTCACGATACTTATCCACGTGATGATTTAGAACAGTAATTTATCCCCTTTCCGTGGACAGATTAGTCAATGCCCCTGAAAAATACGAGTCGGTATCAGATATAAATAAGCAGAAGCATAAAGCATTCTTCTTAGTCGTGGCGAGGGTGAAAATATGTTGCGAAAGATATTTTAATACGTATCAGTCAACTTTTTCCACCACCATTCCGCGAATATATAGACATATTTCATTCCTGGGACGAAATAACCATGTTTATTACGATTATTCCTCACTTCGCGGATTGGAATTTTGATTCAAATTTATGAAGATAAAATAAAGGGGGTATAAAGAGGCAGTCGCGTTGCACATAGGAAGAAAAACATTTGTCTTCCAGCTTTTATTTTCCATCCAACTGCGGAACAGTAATACGCAAGAAAAATATGAAAATATATACATACACGATCTATCTATCTATTTTATTTTTCTAGCTTGCTTGTTTGTTTGTTTGTTTGCGTGAACACGTAATCAGTTTCATGTTTCTTATCTGTAATCAAATTATCCGATAAGAGAGGTAACAATATATAATTCAATCGAAGTAAGAAAATTAGGAATGCATCGTGTACCGCATCTCGAGATTATATACTCGATATTATAATTTGGAGAGAAAATTTTTATTAGAGAAAAATTTACCACGACTAAATTTACCAGGAAAGATCAATCGATGATTTTCAATAGCTC